TTGGGAAGCATCCACAGCTTGTGTAGATTCAAGTTTGTTCAAAATCATATCTCCCTGGGTTGGGTTGAGCCACAATGGACGATAATATAGGCGTATCGAGAAAAAAATCTTCCTCTTCAGAACAGCAAAGCCATGGTTTGTCATTTTATTTTGAAGCATCCTCAAATTTATGTAGATTCAAATTGTTTAAATTGTATCCCCTTCCCTTCTGCCCTTTAGGATTATGTCGCAAACACTGATGCATTTAAGCTTTTGAATACTTAAATGATTTTTGCTTTTTCCTAGCCACAGTACTTAGGCCATTGGACCTCTTGTAGTAATTACTTTAAAGTGAAAAGTGAAATATCCCGCTGCTAAAAATTTAATCTTTTTTTTTTATTTTCCAACATTGATCTTTAAAAAAAGACTAGCACTAAATTCAGATGAAAAATATACGCAGTTTGGAGCGTTGTTTATTTTTAAGAAATTAATATTATACCTAATAATGGTGTGAAAAAATGGAGTGATAAATAGATAAATCAAAATATTTTGTATCCTACAATAAAAAAAAAATGAAATCTGTCTTAATCACAGTATCACATTGTTTTCATGTCATTGTAAAATAAAAATACATACACCTGCAGGAACTATCGTTCCTCAAAACATTTTGAAGAAAAAGGAATAATAAATTGGTCATAAAAATTCTACATATGATATTTCTGGAAGAAGTTAAAGAATTTATGTTAAGAAAAAGAAATATCTCAACATTAACAGTTTCAAAAAATAAAAGATAAAGGCTATATTAGCATTAATCAATAAAATTACTGGCAATAAAGCAAAAAAATCAAAATTTGTCCAGATTTACATGGATTATATATATTCTGGTCCACATTATCAAACTCTGGTAAAATAAAACATTTATTTGATCGCTTAAAATAATGATCTTGAAAATCGTTTACCTTAGAAGAGAGATATTAGTTCCTAAGTCGAAACATTTTTTCAAATTAAAAACCTGAAAATATGGCAATTCAAGTATGTCCATTCAAATTCAAGTTTTTTTTAAGAAAAAATGAAAATTTCAAAAGTTGTTATTTTGTTTCTTAACATCTAGGAAAATGATCAACAGTTCTTGTAAAATATTCTACAAATTTTAACTATTGAAATAAAATAATAAGTGCTATTTTGTTTGTTCTGGATAAAGGCAGGATAATGTTAAACATAAGTGTACAATGTATAAATGTCACAATTTCGTGTTGATAGATGAAACCCACTAAAAGTTCTTTTCTTTGTTTTAGTTTATGCGTTAGTTTGTTCAAAAAAGTGACTTTTGTAAAAGTGTTCTTTAGGTATAAAAAAAATACAGTGAAAATATAAAATATGTCTTTGCCTTTTGCCTTTTAATCCAGTGCCTCTATTTTTATCCAAAACTGGTCATTGGTATGTTTCCTTGACTGCAGCAGCAATTTAAAAAAAAATAAAAAGGTATTTTCATGGAATGGAATCGCATTAAAAATTCCAATGAAATTTTAAAAATGGGTAAATATCACATTCGATTTGTTCCGACCCATTGGCACCTAACAACTAAAATTTACAATAAGCATTTCACAATAAGAAAGAAAACAAATTATACTTCCAATGATTGTGTAGAGATATACATGTACCGTTATCACATGTACATTTATCCTTTATCCTATTATGACAAGAAGCACATGGTTGGCTTGGTATTTCGACAAGAGATATTTATTCTTTTATGAAATATATGGAGATATCAATCAGTATTCAACCTAAAAAGTTATTGAACAATACAAATTAAGGAATAGAGCAAAATATTTGGCAATTGACCAATGCCAATGTACATTTAAGTTTATTTACCAGTTCCACTGTCATCGAAAAAATAAATGTCGATTTTTTTAATTGAATTGAATTCAATTTTTTGTTGGAAATGTATGTTTATAAAGTAGAAAAGTCATAGGTTTTCACGCTTTAATACGGTTAAATTTGGTTAATATTTTGTGATTTCAAAATTTCCAACGAATCCCTGAATTTTTTAATTATCCACGTCTGAATTACACTACTTCAGGAATATATCGTACAATACCCTCGATGTTTCTCCTTCCTAAGTATTTTAGTGAGAATACAAATCACATGATAAAACCTCTGTTTCCAGACGTCGTGTTGATTCTGCTTATAAATCTTATTGGTTAGATTGACTTGCCGTATTCCGTCATAGTTATTTCTGCAGTACTCCGTCATATATATAATATATAGACCTTGTAATATATGTTATGTTCAGCTTATTACCCTTTTGTGATTTTTGTTTGTTTGTTAATCGATTCATAAACATCTTCATATTAAAAGACTTGGACATATGAATCGAATATCTAATTCAAACGTGGAGTTTTATAAGCATTTAAGAAATTTTGAATCACCAAAAATTTTCAAAATCAAAAGCATCAAAAGATAGCTAAAACCTTATTAGCGGCTACAAGTTAAATATCACGCAAATATTTCATTTGTGGAGACAAGTATGGGCACAATATGAGTTATCTGTAAGATATCAAGTCATTTTTGGCCATCGCAATTTTTGCCATTTTCATGATGGCTACCGGAAAAAAAAATAGGCGACGTATTATATGCATTCTACGTTGACTTGGACAATCTATTAAAGACACATGATATAAACGAATATTATGTTTGGAGGAGATTTAATATCATTTCACAAGTTTAGAAAAGTGGATAATTCTTATAATGATTTCTCATAAGAACTCGAAAATGAAATAGACTTGTAAAATATTACTAATATTTAAAAAAAGAAAACAAATATTGACAAATCACACTCAAAAGAGGTATACACTCAGGTGAAAACAAATTTCAGAATACGTAGGCTTGGTTCTAAAAATGAAATATAATCTCAAGAAATATATATCGAGCCGGGTTGATTTTATTAGGAAAAGCAAAATGGTATAAATCACCCTATATTATATTGGCTGATTTTCACCATTTTGCTTTTCGTCATAAAATTTACCTGGCTTGGTATATTTTTTCAAAGTTTATTTTACACTTTCAGTTCCAAGTTAACATTATCTGAAATTTATTCTCATCTGTAAACCTTTACTAAGTGTGTTTTATCTATTTTCATAATTTTATTGAAAAACTACTAATATTTTCTAAATCTATTTCATTTTCCAGTTCTAAGAAGAAAAAGTTCTAAGAATTATCGACTTTTCTAAACTTGTGACATGACATTAAGTCTCCTCCAAAGATAAAATTCATTTGCATCATCGGTCCTAAACTGTAATATTTATCATACTTTGGGTGTTTAGCGATATATTTTTGTTATTAATAATATTTATAAAAGGTTTTTTGACTTAAAATCACTCAATCTAAATTTCCATCAGAAGAAATTCTGAATTATTCATTTTGCTTTTTTCTAGACAGTTACATTTTGAAATAACATGACGGAACACAGAAATTTTGTTTGTGATTTAAAACTTTGTTATATTTAAAAGATGTCATAAAGTAGATATCTTAAAAATATGGCTTTCATTGACAGAATAAATGAAGTCATTGATGTTCAGACATTTCAATTCCATTTTGTACAAAGTCTAGCCGAACAGTTTGACGTGAAAAGTAGACAGCAAACTTTTTTAAGGCTTAAAATGCAATATTGAAATAATTTTGCAATGTTTTATTATCAATTTTTATAAAGTCTAGTTAAGTTTAAGTTGTTGCATTTAAAAGATAAACGTTTTCTCTCGCTGTTTTGAATGTGAGAATCCCTACGCAAGACGAAGATTGTGCAAGTCATGCATGTTTTTACCACCCGATCAACGTAAATATGAAAACTGTCAAATAGTTTCGAAGTGTTTGAGAAAACTAGACGTATATGATAGCCGGACAAATGACCACGATAAAGTTTAACTATTGCCATCTTCCGTGGGATATTTGTTTTTTGTAATTACATCTTATATATATACCGAAAAAGAACACGTGACCCACATCTCCTCTGACTCCGAAGCGTTGAAAATCTACTCCCCCATACGTTGAAAATGACTCCCCCATACTTTTTAGCGACTCCCCCGCGTTACCCGTTGTATACGATGATAATATTCAGCATAAAAATTAAACATTAATATCCTGCAACTACCCATTGCATTGACCTAATAAAGGTAACCTCATAAACCAAAGATTTATCCCGTCATTGTCCTAATAAAGTCTCGTGCATGTATTCCGACGTTCTAAAAGCATTTTGAGGCCATGCATATTGCAATGTTTTCGCCAAGGCGTCATAGTTTCAACTGCAGAGATGTGCCTAAATCTGTCGAAAACAGCTTGTTTTGACGTTCAAATGTAAAAATTTTGTTGCAGGATAAACAAAATACATGAAAACTGTCTTGAAATATAAACGATATTTTGGCCTTGGTCAAAAACCCGAGATGGCTCGGCAAGCCTCGCCCTCTATCATGTTTTCTTACCCTTGCCCAAATATGGCTGATATTTCAAAACAGTAATCATGTGTTTTATATTTATTCGTCTTGTTCGAACATTTTTTCCTAAATAACACAAGACTATTTCATAATTCCTATTTACCGTTCACGGTAGCTCAGTCGGTAGAGCGCTCGCTCCGTGATCGGGAGGTCGTGAGTTCGTATCTCGGCCGCGACTGACCTAGTCGTTAAAATTGGTAGCAACTGTTCCTTCGCCATGCGCTCGGCACTTTGAAGTGAAAGTTGCGGGTCCTTCGGATGAGACCTTAAAAACCGAGGCCCCGTGTCAGCGGCAGGCGTTTGCACGATAAAGATTCCTCACTGCTCAATGGCCCTGAGTGCCGAGTAAAGGTCAAAATTTGAAGCCCTTCACCGGCATACGGTGACGTCTCCATATGAGTGAAAAATTCTCGAGAGGGACGTTAAAACAACATACAATCAATCAATCATAATTCCTATTTAACAAGAAATGAAATCAATTCGAATTGAATCATATTCAAAATATACACAGCTCAATATTTAACCTTGTTTCAGAGTTTGATGAGGAAGAACTTCGCATAGTTTTATTGGGGAAAACAGGAAGTGGAAAAAGTGCAACAGGCAATACTATCCTTGGAAAAAGAATGTTTGTAGAATCATCTTCTGCAAAGTCAGTCACCAAGGAATGTCAAAGAGAACACATTTCAAGATTTGGAAAGGATATTCAGGTTATTGATACTCCTGGATTGTTTGATACAGATATCCCTAATTCGGTTGTGCAACTAGAAATATCAAAATGCATAGCTATTAGTGCACCAGGTCCACACGCATTTATTTTAGTTCTCGGGCTAACCAGATTCACCCAAGAGGAATACGCCGCTGTACGTCATTTTGTCGATCGTTTTGGAGATGATATTTATGATTTTTTTATAATACTCCTTACAGGAAAAGACAACTTAGATTATGAGAATAAAACACTAGATAATCATTTCGAAACCCTACCAGACAACCTAAAAACATTTATAGAAAGATGTGGCAACCGATGCATATCCTTCAACAATAGGTCAAACGAAGCAGAAAAAGAAAAACAAGTGAAAAATCTCTTGAAAATGATTGAAGAAAACACCCATAGAAATGGAAAGAAGTATTACACGGATGTAATGTATGCTGAAGCTTCAAGAATTATGGACCAAAGAGAAGATGAAATTAAAAAAGAAATGGAAAGAAAAAGAGAGGAAGAAATCATTAAGATAGAGAAAAAATTCAAAAAAATTATGCTAGAACTACAACAAAAAAATGAAGAAATCAACAAACAGTACCAAGAGCTACTTATATCGGTTAAAAGAAGAGAAAGCGAATATATAAAACTGGAAAATAAAATTGATAACATGGAAAAAACAATTAGGGAGGAAAAAAGTAAAAATTTTGAAATGGTCAATGATCTTAAACTCAAAAACCAAAAAATTGTGGTTGTCGAGAAACAAGTTCAAAATTTGCAAACATCTGTAAATGTAATGGAGAGCACATTAAGGACTAGAGGCGAAAATTTTGATTCTAAAGAGAAAAAAATGAACGAAGATCTAATAAATTTAAATAGAGAGTATCGAAAGCTCTTAGACGAGAAGAAAAGAAACAAAAACTTAAAGGAGGCAAAAGAAATAGCACGAAAAGAAGCAGAGAAATCGAAATGGTTTATGAAAAGGTACTTTCATAAATTTAGACGATGGTTTGGAACAATTAAAGAGGACAAGGATATTGAGAAAAAATGTGAAATGGAAGCAGAAGGTGAAATGGAAGCAGAAGAAGAAAAAGACAGAGAGCACGATGAATAACGTTTCTCACATTACAGACACTCAAAATGCGCAAGGGGGATCTGGTAGTTATTAAATGCATGTATTACAGCAACGAAAAGTGACCTTTAACTTCCTATCCTAGAAAACGACGATCCTGTTATGTGAAGATGGGACCCCCCCACCCCTGAATGAATTTCTGCCTGTATAAAAACAGTGGTACCTTGACTTATATACTTTTGTATCTAAGGCTGGATTCAATGTTCTATATATAGTGTTGAGTAGTTTAGTAGTAGTGCTAGTTGTTTTTTGTTTGTTACTTCTTTTTTTCCTTTGTTCTCATGACTTTTAAACTTTTTTCCTTGTCCTGAGGAAGGGACAGGTCGTCCCGAAAATTTGACGATTTGTATTGTTCGTGTATATATATTCATACGTAAAGGAATTAACAGTAGTAAACTAAAATTATATGAAATTTTTACCTAATTATTTTGAAAATTGAAGACAGTTATTTCAGGTTCTATTTAAGATCTTGTGTGTTTTAGTCGGTTTTGTTTTAGACCTTTATTCCAAAATTCTGCATTTTTTTTAAAGTGTACTATATACTTTAAATTTTAATAAACAAAAAGGAAAAACAGATTCGGCTATTGTTTCATTCAATAAAAGTATATCATACGAAGTTCACAAATATTGTTTTTATTTTTGATAAAATTGAAAGACCAGCATTTGCAAATCTAATGTTATCAAAATCCGTTTGAAATCTATATTATAAATTTTGCTGATAGCTTCCTTCATCATGTGTCCATATTCACTGTCTTAAAGTAGACCAAGAGTAAAAATTGAAAGTTCATATCCCTTTTAAAATAAAAAAAAATAAATTTTTAAGCAAAAAAGGAATAGTCTGTTTGTTACCCTATTCGTAACTTTAACCGATTGGACTTGCCTCTGAAAGAATAAACCATTCATAATACTTAAAAGGTACAGAACGGTTTCTTAAAATTCTGAAAGACAAAAACAGCTGCTTATGACATTTAATTTAAATGAACAACATTAATTTTATTAAAATATAAATCAATTTCTTTCAGTTAAATTTGAATTCAAATAAGAAATGTAAGAATTACCGATGGAATGCTAAAGATATATTTCTTTATTATATACCTAATTTGTATCACTCTAATATTTTATTTTTGATTTTATGCAGTTACGTGACGACGTGTTCCAACTTTTCGGATCACCACACTGTGATTTTCTGATTCGATATTACCACTCTCTGAAACGGATGACGTAGTATACGGAAACATGATGTTATTTTTCTTGCGCGTTAAAAATCCCTTGTTTGTATGCTTTGTTTTATAAAGGTCTTCCGTTTCCAAGGGAAGACCTTCTACTGATTCTGATAATTAAGATTATTAAGGTCTTCCGTCTTCAGCGGAAGACCTTCTTGTTATTTGTTGGTTTCTTTTCCGTTGTTTTTCTTATTACTAGGATCTTTCGTCTCCAACGGAAGACCCTTCGATCATTTCATCGTTTCGTTTTCACTTTTATTATTCTTTTTTTCTTTACAATTTTTGTGCAGAAAATTTCTCAAAGCTCAATCGATTTTGTTTAATTTTTCAGAGATTATGTGGCTCTATCTGAAGATTGTACCCCATCTCAGTTTTGAGAAAAATCACTTCCGGTCGGAAGTTATTGCCCTTTCAGTGATTTTTAGAGGGTCTCATTGTCCATAAGTAAACTCAAAAACGACATTAGCTAGAAAGCTGAAATTTTTCGCGATGATAGATGACACATTGCTGAGTTGCATATTGAATTTAAAATTCTTCAGAAAAGTCCAATATGGAAGCTCGGTTGGGGTCAAAATCTAGGACACAAAAATTGATTGAATTTTTGAGACATTTTGTATCATATCTTTTAAAGTATAATTATTTTGATAAAACATACTGAACAATATCTATGGGGAATGCCAAGATCTTTCATATGATATCAAGAAAAAAGTGCTGACTCGATCATCACATTAGGGGCCAAAAGGGGCTAGAATCTTTTTTCGATAACTCTCTAACAGTCAATATTTTGCTATACACTTCTGAAGCAAAAATGTTAATCTTAACAATCTACAACTGTATGTTATGATTTTAATGTCGTATGGTACGTAATTAGGGGCCATAAGGGGCCAAAATGCTAAATCTTTGACGCTTTATTTCTCAAAAGTGGGAAATATTTTGATAAGTAATATTAAACAAAAAATGTTGAAAATAATGTTCTAAACAATATGCAGCCTTTCATTTTTCGCTAAACGTCTCCATTAAGGAGTTGTAGGGCTGGCCCCTAAATATTTCTTTTGCAAATAACTTGAAAACGAAAAAGAATCTCTAAATAGTTGTTGAACAAAAAGTGTTTAGAATCATTAGAGGTTTAAGGTAAAATCCAGAAAAAGGGTCTGGAAACTCAAATTGAGGGCCAATAGGGGCTAAAATACTTTAATCGGTAACTCTTTATCAGGTAATATTTTTTCATACATTACTGAAGCAAAAATGTATATCTCAACAATCTACAGTTATATATTATGATTTTTATGTCGTATTACATAATTAGGGGCCACAAGGGGCCAAAATGCTAAATCTTTAACGCTTTATATCTCACAATTTGGGAATATATAGATAAGTAATATTGAACAAAAGATCTTGAAAATCATTTTCTGAACAATATGCAACCTTTAATTTTTCGATAACGTCCCCATCAAGGAGTTGAAGGGCTTGCCCCTAAATATTTCATTTGCAAATAACTCGAAAACGAAAGAGAATCTTTGAATAGTTGTTGAACAAAAATTGTTTAAAATCCTGAGAGGTTTAAACGCAAAAAAAGGGGCTGGACTCCCAAAGAAGAAAGTACGGTATGAGCAAAGTTCCGCCCAATCCCAAATTTTATTTAAATTATTCTTGAAACATGTCTAGAATGACCACTTCCTTAGTCATTTTAATTTTTGCTATTATCTCAAACCATTTCTCCAAGAGGGCTCTTTAAGTATAGGTAGTTTTCGTAAGAAAATAACGCAATGACGTTTTGAAGTCAACTTGACGTTATCGGATTTAAAACGTTTTAATCCCGATACAACGTTAAAGAAGAATAAATTTTGAACTGCAAAAAAAGCTGTAGCCTACTCTTTTGTTTCCTTTGTGAGCTTTTCTTGAAATGTGGAGCGAGTTTAAATTTCGCTGAATTTAAAAATTAATTGTCTTTACTGGAAATTTTGTTGGTCATTGGTTTTGCTAGTTTTTCCAAGAAAACGATTCCTCAAGAAAGTCAATGGAACATAATTTTTAGCTCGAAGCCCAATTATTTATCACGATTTAATCTTATAATTCTGAATGAGCGATATATCTTTCTTTTATTCAATTTATTGTTGTTTTTGTGTGTGTATACAGTGTAAGTTTGTAAATAGAAAATAAACACGAGGACATATACATCATTCATGTATGAATTATAACTGCATACCATATTGTTCGTGCATTATCATGATGGTTCTTATAATAAAGACGGCTATCTTAATTTGAAGTTTGATGATACCATGTATATGAATAAACAAAACACACTTTTCAAGTTCGGTTTTTTTTTTGAGAATACAAATGTATACGTGAACATACTAAAAAAAATTCAACTTTAATTACAAAAAAAGAACATCAGGATATGCAAAAATCATTCAAAGGAGCTACGATGTTTTTATTTGTTAAAAATTTTAGCATTAAAAATTTTTCTTCTGACAAGTCGCTTGAAATCATTAATCCACCCTTACGATAGGATTTTTAGCATTATTGAATCATGGTTAGTAACCCCCACCCCGACCTCTCCTTTTCCTTGGATCACATGTGATGCACATTCTTTCATTGTAGACTGATCTGCCTTCATGTTTCCTAAATGAAAATATATCTAACCTTGGTATTCTTAACTACTTGCGTTCAATTTTTATATTTCAGATCTCTGTAATGCTCCGAAATTCTGATAGCTGTTGTAAACTTTTCGACTATCAAAATTTCGGAGCAAAAAAGAAATCTGCTTTTAATAAGATTGCTCTTCATGGCAATTGGTGGCATTTTCATAAGCTGTAGAACTGTAGCTCTCCGAAAAAAAATTTATACTGACAGACCTGAGAGCTTCAGTGCCACGCACTGAAAAAACTTTGTATTTTTTGCTCACAAAAAAGTGCGATTTTTCGATTTATTTCTCCATGATATTAAAAATTTCATTTCAAAATATTACTAACTGTGTGTTCCTTACATATTCTTTCACTGTTTCCACATCAAAACATTCCTTTTAATCATGTTTAATGACCCTACTTGTTCTGAAATTGAAATCACCGAAAATTTTGCATACTAGTATTTATACTGCCAGTTTGGTTTGCAAGATAATTCGGTCCAACGCGCTTCGAACATATGTAAACTATAAAAATTATTGGATGACGAGTAAGGACTTTATCTAGATCTACCTTTTTAGCAACTGGGGAAAGATTTTGGAGGAATTAATCCATAAACAGCAAACTTTTTTGTGCGCAATAGATATACAGTTTTTTTTCAATGGGCGGCACTGTAGCTCTCCGGTCTATCAGTATATTTTTTCGGAGAGCTATAGTTCTGCAGCTACGTCTTCATAAGAGTGAAAAATTCGCAAGAGGTAAAACATCGATATATTATAAATAATTATGCTCCATTGACATAATGCTTTATAATTAAAATGCAAAATATAGATTCTTCAGAGTTATACAGGCATGTACATGTAGAAACGGGGGGGGGGTGCTTTTATTTCCCAACCTTACTTTTACAATTGAAAATGTTTATTGAAAAGCTGGCCGGTCCCAAGCTTTTACTATGGTAAAGTGATTTTAGGGAAATGTAGAATTATATGCGTAAAATTGGTACTGAAAGAACTCGGCACCTGAAAAAAATTGGCCTCTCCCCCCCCCCCCCCACTCCCCAAGAAAAAGGAATTTCGAGTTTTGGCAATGCTTTGTCTTCTTGGTTTGTCAACGTTTCCAGTAAAAAACAATTTTCTGG